TAAGATACATATGTTTGACACTTTAACCCACCCAACATTTCAATCTTCTACAGTAATAATTACCCATTCGAACTCACTACTTACGGGGCTATTCACCCACGGCTATTTGACAAACCCATTCTTCACGACGGGAAGTCACCAGGAAGCAACGATGACGAAAGGGGATTATTACCTAAAAGCCGGAACGGAACGGGTTTGGGTACCCGCTTACAAGCTGCTACGTGAAAAACTTATCCAAGAGGTCCACGATTGCAACCTCTCCTTACATTTCGGAGTTGACATGACGCACAAAATGGTACACCGTAGGTATTACTAGCCTGAATCTTCATCTGAAGTGTGCAGCGCTATGTGTCTTCATGCGGAGTGTGCTAGGTTACGAAATCGACACGTCAGCGACCGGCCGGCCTACTGGAACCCCTCGAGGCACTCGAGCGACCGTGGCAACAAGTGATAAATAATTTTTGTCACGCGGCTGCTAGCTCGCACGTCTGGCAATGACATTGTATTCGTCGTCGTCGATCGCCTCACAAAAATGGCGCATTTCGCACCGCACAACAATCATAGCCGAAGAAACGACGCGCCTCTTTATCGCGACCGTTGTTCGCCTCTATGGCATCCCGTCTACAATCATCAGCAATAGGGACCCGAAGGCTACATCGAAGTTCTGGAGGGAGACGTGGGCACAGTGCGGCACACGTCTACAGTTTTCGTCAGCTTACCACCCACAAATCGACAAACAGACTGAGCGGATCAATAACACAATGGAGCAGCTCATCCGTACGAACTGCCCCGACCCCGCTCGCTGGGAAATTTCAATCCCGGTGCTGGAGTTTGTGTACAAGGATGCCACATCCAGCATGACTAAACGCTCGTCGTTCTACTTGAATAACAATATGGACCCTGTGGTACCCACGATGACATCACCCGACAACCCAGTACCAAGGTCACAACACTTTGTGACAGAACTACATGCTATTTGCGAGAAAGCTGTCGAAGCAATCCGCAAAGCCAACGCCATTGCCCGAAAATGCTCCGATCTCCTTCGCCGAGAAATCATCAAGGTGGCAGGGCAACTAATCCTACTCGTCACCAAGAATCTTCACCTACCCGGCTCGTCGAAGCTTTGACCGTGCTTCTGCGGACCTTTCCACATTGTGAAAATGATCACCCCCGTCTCCCGCCGCTGCTGCATCTGCCGTGACTGTGGTTTGCTACTGCTGCTCTCTGCCCTTGGTGTACCCCTTAAGGGGGTGTCTCGGCATGTGGCTTCCACTACAGGCAGTTAGGGGGTGTGTTAGAAATTATATATTTCATATAACTGCCTGCTAGTGTAGCTACTGTGTATTGTTACAACTTTTGCTTGCCTTTGTCTCTCTGTACCCCCGCTTCTCTTGATGAATCTATCTTTGCCCATTTCTCTCGCCATCCTGACCCTCGACTCTCAGCATAGCTAAAATAAAGGTTACCAAGTCCTGAGTTAAGAGCCTACTTTAATAGTTTTGCACTTAACAGAATAGGCGACAGGTCGATGTGCAAATTGTTATGTCACCCCGGATAGAGGCGCAGACCTATGATATGCACATGCGCTTCTATCAGGGGCTTATGGCCGGTCCTCGATTATAAGTGCACTCCCATGAAAACTGTGAGTTATTATAAGCGCATATGGATTCTAAAATGAAAATATGTCAAATCACCGTAACCAAATTCACCTTAGTAGGCTGACAGGTTACGGATTTGATTTCTTTCAGTTTCGACTCACTCATTGGCTGCGAATCCAGTCAGCACGTGCTGCCAGGGGCGCCTAAAAGGAATCTGCCGAATTGAGCATATGTATTGGGAATCTTTTCCTGCCAAGTTGCGAAAGATTTTCACTCATGACCCTGTGTCAATTTGACTCGTGAATAGGCAAGGGTGCGACCTACAGCTTGTTGCTAGAAAACAATGATGATTTATTTATTATTTGTTATTTTATACGCGCATGAACCTATAGTTTTTACTCAACTAGAAGCGCACCGCACCTCCTGGTAAGCATGGGTAACACAGTATATTATGCACCCAACAGTACAATGATTGAAAGAGTGGAAGAAAAAACCCTGGAAAAAAGCTCATAGCAAAGCTCTTACGTAAGGCCCCTACAATCAGAGGCAGCAAAAAAAAAAAAAAAAAAAAAAAAAAAAAACCACCTCTACCAATCAGAAGACAGAGAAATCAGGTACGGTACATTTCCTTACCATGCTTTCATGTGCCTATATATCCCTTCATGCAGATGGTTGGTCCTCAAAGGAATTCCCTTGCAGCAATTTGTCAATGCTGTGCAGTTGAGCATCCTTCGACAATGCGCCTCTGATCTCTTTGGCTTGCTCGTCCACTTTGATTGCTGCAAGCAGCTCGTCTTTCCCCACCACCTCATTCCTCATGTTCTGCAGCTCATTGGCAATGCTTCCCATACTGGGCCGGCTGGCAGTGCGCTCCACAGTGCAGCTTAGAGCCAGTTGGGCCAGGCGCAGCACAGCATCATCTGGGGCGTCCATGCTCAGGTCCTTGAGGCTGGCAGAGGTGTCGGAGGAGATGCAGGCCTCCACCTGATTGGTTAGACAAGGTGGGGAGAGCAAAATTTTCAATCCCGAAAATGGCATATTTAAGGTGTGACACAGTGAGATTGGGTAAGCTTGAAGCTAACACTTCTCCTTGCTTTAGGCTAAGATGCAAGATATCAATCAAAGCAATACCTTCAGCAATGCCATGTCCAACATTTGAGTAACAGCCATGCTATGCTCTGTGTAACAGTCGTGCCATGTGCAACAGTCGTGCCATGTGCAACAGTCATGCCATGTGTAACAGTCATGCCATGTGCAACACTTGTGCCATGTGCAATAGTCATGCCATGTGCAACACTTGTGCCATGTGCAACAGTCATGCCATGTGCAACACTTGTGCGATGCACAGGGCATTCTTGCAACAGGACTCACCCATTTCAGAATGGGCGCGCTCTCTTTATCAGCCGAGGCGGACGGGCTTCGACCAGTCAAGACCACAAGCATGAGCACACCAAAGCTACACACACAGAAGGGGAGTGCCGGGGCATTAACATGACGCTATGAAGGATGGGAGTTGTGCACTGTTCAGTGTGTATACAGAGCAGGAGCTGCGACCAGTGAAGCGTGACCATGCGGAAGCTGCACCGAGGGCAGGATGTTGACAGCATTTAAGGTGGCTTATCTCAGTTGGACACCATTAGGATGGACACATTGATTCATGTGTGATTGGATAATTGCATCACCAAGAGGAAAAGGATACAATCAACACATGGCCAATCAACAGCAGCACAAGCATTTGCACCCAAATGCAGCTAAAAATTGGAATATTAATAACCCCAGCAATTAGACCAGCAGTGGTGCATGCAAGCTCACCTGTAGACATCAGTGGTGCGGGTTGCCTTGGAGGTGCGTGAGTAGATGGGATCCACATAGCCTGGTGTGCCCATCACTCGAGTGGTGCCCACGGTGCTTCCCACCTCCTCCCTCAGCAGTCCAAAGTCCGCAACCTTGGCCTGGTGGGTGGCATGAGCAGGAAAAGAGAAGAAAAGCATCAACGATGGTCCGTTACTTCATTTTACCAGGTGTAGAAGGGTAGTACTGGTTGTAAGAGTTATCTTCTTGTACAAGGGCCTTAGGATCCAAATCACACCGAATGACATATCCATATAGATTGTTGTGCGTAGGTAACATCCAGTCCACACTCATGCAGAAACAAGGGCTCAATACCTTATCAAGTGCTATGAAACACGAAAACAGGAAGCATACATTTGTTACTTCTTGCTTTGGCTGGAACTGCTTGCCAGAAAGTGCGTGACATTTGAAAAGAGCTTGCCTGCATGTCTGCCGTGAGGAGGATGTTGGCGGGCTTGATGTCTCGATGCACAAGGTCAAAGCCGTGGAGGTAATCCAGGCCACGTGCCGCACCAATGAGGATGTCTTGCTGTTGCTTCAAGGTGAGACGAGAGGGCGCTTCTGCAACAATGCCAACACAACATGAGTGACAGAGGACGTGTGAGTTCCCATTTGTCCTATGATGAAAGCACATGACGAGTACATAGCTACATACTTGCACTGATCCACATCTGGAGGTCACCGTTCCGAACAAGCTCGTAGATCAGCACTTGCTCTGGCCGTGTCCTCATGTCCCCTCCAACGGCAAATCCAAGCAGCCGCACAATGTGAGGATGGTTCTTGTCGGCCATTTGTCGCACCTGCAAGAGAAACATGCATTATTAGGATGGGTTGAAAGACCAAACCTTCACAATCCGGAGTGTAAACGTCTTTCAATGACTGAACAGCGTGAATGGCACACTCGGCAAAGACTTACACTTGTTTCATGCGCAGCATGGTCAAACCATGGCCACTGAAGAGAGTACTCGCCTGGAAGGTCTAAGCCCTGCATGTGGGTACTCACCTCGCGCTGGAAGTCAGCTTGCAGCAGCTTGGCTCGCTTGACGGCCCACAGTGTGGTGCCATCGCGCGGAGACACGCCCTTATACACGTCACCAAAGGAGCCCGACCTCAGCTGGTTTTCACTCCCCCAGTTGCTGGTGGCTGTGAGCACTTCCTCCAGGGAGTACTCCGTGCAGTGCGACGTCGCCACACTGCCCGCCAGACCTGCTCGTGGGATGCGGAATAAACGAACAGAGCACTTTGATGATCTCAGTGTTCTAGCCGTGCAAGCTTCCTACTCCCATTGCTTTGATTTCTAGTGTGTTGCCCCATAATGTTTTTTTTAAAAGGGCTAAGTGAAAAAAAAGAGGGGGGAGAGGAAGGGCAAAAGGATAAAGACATGTATTCGTACCTTCAAATTCCGATTTGACTTGCAGAACTGCATCCTCATCCTGCTTGTCTGCTTTCGCTTCTCCTTGCGCGCGCCCTTTCTCGTAGCTTCTCCAGCATAGCAGCCCACCAACAAGCATCAGCAGCAGAAAGGCAATGGAAGCCACGGCAATTCCAGCAATGGCTGCTGCTGACAGGCCGCTGGACTGGGAGGTGGACGAAGCAGGCGAGGAGGCAGGGGAGGCAGTGGGGGGAGATGGAGACGTTGTCGTGCTTCCTGGAGATGGGGAGCTGGGTGCTGGAGGGGAAGGGATGGACATGGGAGGAACAGGGAAGGATACGGGAGTGGAAGGGATGGACATGGGAGGGGAAGGGAAGGATATGGGAGGGGAATGGATGGACATGGGAGGGGAAGGGAAGGATACTGAAGGGGAAGGGATGGACATGGGAGGGGAATGGATGGACATGGGAGGGGAAGGGAAGGATACGGGAGGGGAAGGGATGGACATGGGAGGGAAAGGGGAGGATATGGGAGGGGAAGGGATGGACATGGGAGGGGAAGGGAAGGATATGAGAGGGGAAGGGATGAACATGGGAGGGGAATGGAAGGATATGGGAGGGGAAGGGATGGACGTGGGAGGGAAAGGGGAGGATATGGGAGGGGAATGGATGGACATGGGAGGGAAAGGGCAGGATATGTTAGGGGAAGGGATGGACATGGGAGGGGAAGGGAAGGATATGAGAGGGGAATGGATGGACATGGGAGGGGAAGGGAAGGATACAGGAGGGGAAGGGATGGACATGGGAGGGAAAGGGAAGGATATGGGAGGGGAATGGATGGACATGGGAGGGAAAGGGAATGATACGGGAGGGGAATGGATGGACATGGGAGGAGAAGGGAAGGATATGGGAGGGGAAGGGATGGACACAGGACGGGAGAGATGGACAGAGGAGGGGAAGGGATGGACATGTATATGTGTTGATTCAACATGGATGTTGCAGTTTAATAAGAGCAGCACTAGTGCTGGTGCTTGCTACTGGCAAATGGTTCTAGAAGAGTCGAAAGAACATGCGCCAGGGAGAGAAACTGAATCGCAAGAATCAAAGGGAGTAAAACCCTTGCGTCGAAGTATCCAAGCGACACGGCATGCTTATGGGTATGCAAGCCATCCGACATGGAAAGGGGATGCCTGAGCAAAATGGTATGGCTCACGAGGTGCTGGCTTGCTGCAGGCGGTGCAGAAGGAGGGGCACTGGCGACAGAAGGAGCTCTCAAGTTGCTGCTGCACCACGCATGGGGTATTGTCAGGAGGGCAGGTAAGGCCAGTTCCACTCACATTCCTGCAAAACGAAAGGGAAAAACAAACATGCGAAGGAGTCACACTGCTTGAAGCTCGTTCCTATGAGAGGAGCACACACCTCCTTGCTTTTCTCACATTGCCGGTTCTGCTGGAAACACCAATCTGTTAACTGACTGGGCTAGAATGGGCAAATTGCATTGGTGAGTCTGAACCCAGAAGCGTATAAGTTTGGCTGCTTCAGAAACGACTAGCTGGAAAAAGCCAGTCGCCCACGAGAGGTTGGTGCTCACAGGAGAGAGAGCTGAGCTAGGTTGCCCACGGATTGCGGGATGCTGCCTGTCAGGGTATTGTTGGAAAGGTCCCTGATGACAGGGCAGCACAAGGCATGCATTTAGCAGGGTTACCGGAGCTTAGAAACAATAAGGTAACCACCAAGAATGGAGAAACTAACAGCAGGCACTCAAACTCTGAAAAATAGCAAGCAGAGGGCAGCATGACATCATGACAGTCCCAACCAACTCTGTGGCACATCTTTGACGAACAATGGACAAGCAACCTATCCTGGCATAGAACCAGACAATGAGTTTGATGAAAGGTTCCTGCATTCACAGTTGGAAGAAAGGATTCAGAAGGAAATTATTGGGCTACTTCGCAAAGGTAACAACCATAGGTGCTGAATGCGTGCTGCCCTTATGTGTTTGCATTGCATTCATAGCATGACGAGTCAAGAGTTCTATTCCTTGTCTGTGAGAGAGTGGATCCGTTACATTTGTGTGCCTTGAGGGAGTGGTAGTAGTAGATCAAGAAGAAGAATTATGGCTGTGTTGGTGCATTGGTGAGTTTTAGCAGGTGGCTGGTGGTATAACATTGTTCAAGAGGTGTTCAAGACAGGAAGACAAACAACGTTGTTGAAACGAGACTCTCTAACCATTAGGGCAACCCGGAAACCTTATAGCTGTTCAAGTCTCGAACTCCTCGTGAACAGTTTTGTACCGTGCCGTGCCCTGAGAGCATTGAGTTGCAGCATGTTGGTGATTTCCTATTTTTCCCCTGTGAAACAACCTAAAGGTGTTTAGGTTCATCGGAGAAGCAAAAGCTGGAATGTGTTAACACGGTGGAACGAATGTTGATGGACAATCGAGAACATACAGATACTGCAAGTTTGCAAGGCGGGCGAACGATCCTGGAATGGAACCAGACAGTGAGTTCATTGAGAGGCTCCTGCACTCACGATTGGGGGTGCACAACCACAAGGGGAAAATCTGGGCCTCATTAACAAAGGTGACATGTAGAGGGACCGGAGGAATTGTGATCACATGTCTATACACGAAGAGGATGATGAGTCAATGGTTTTCGGATGTCGGTGAAGGACCTGCAGCTAGTATTCAAGATTTCCTTTATTGGAAGAAATGCACTTTAGGAATGTCAAATCATTTATTCACGAACAGATACATCATGTGAAATTGGGTGCAATTGCATCATTTGAATGAACATAATTGAACAGCAAGCAGAACTCGTTGCTCAGGTGGACATGACACTTCAGAAAAAAACTTTTCAAGGTTGAGCAAAACTCAAACAAGAACGTGTTCGGGATGAACTGAACAACTTCAGGAGCGAACCAAGGATGTCCGGATTTTCGCAAACATTTTCTTCTGGAAAGGGTGGTCGTGTCTTCGCCTCAGTAGGCAACCACTTATGTGTTCGCCTTACGGCTGTATTTCAATATCGTCGCACTGTCAAGTCTTTTGGGGTGTAATCGAGTGCCTTACTCTTGTATTTTTTGGGGGGTAGGGTAACACATGAGCATTTGACCCGACTTGGGTCGACCCAACTTGCTTTGTCCGGGCCAGGCTGGGTTCCGGGTTGAGCCGGGTCAAGTCACTCCGGGCCTCAGTTATTACAAATCCCAGGTCGACCCACCATAAAGAATCGGGTCAAGCATGGCTCGACCCGGGCCCAGGTTGGGTCCCTACCCACTTTTTTTTTTTGGGCACTTAATTTGGTTAGGATAGTACGTTTTCAAAATTCTGTTATGTTTGCATCAACAAATGACAAAACTCAGCCTTGTTTTGTGTTGCAAGCAAACACACCTTTCTTGATTGAAGTACATGGAAAACGTAGTGCCATAGAAAACGTATGCAAAGAAAGTATCCAATTTTGCGACAAAGTAGTCGCGTCCTAGATGTCCTAGCAAAAAAACCTAATGAATTGATGGGAGACGTTCCCCATTTTCTTTGAATTCCCAGCCAATCTGAGAACTGGTTGGGAACTTCAAAATTATGCCGGGTGATAACCCGACCCGATTTTTAGACCTTGACCCTATTCCAGATCGGGTTATTAACAGGTCAAGGCCCAACCCAGCCCCGACCCGGTTTCAGAAATTGGATAACGGGTTGAAGAGACCCGTCCGGGTCGGCGTTTTGGAAATATCGGCCCGACTCAGGCAAAAACCCATACCGGGCCGGGGCAAGTCCCGGCCTGGCATGGTGCTCAAGCCTAAATTGGGTTGGTGAAAATCATAAAGCAGTGTGGTGGCGTAAATTGACACGTTTGCTTTTGTCACGAACAGTTTCAAACCTGAACGCGTTTGGGTCCGCTACCGCTCGTCACCAAAAGCAGAATGGAACGGAACACATTTGGGTCGAAAAGCAAGGTGTTCCACCCAAAATAACAGATGTTCGACTTGTTTCTCAAGGTTAATCTGAAGTATGGATACATAGCTGGCATGTAAGTTCAGTATCACAGTACTTACAAGTACGTCAACATGGTCATGCGTCCAACGGTGGATGGAATTGATGCGGTCAAGCCATTTGATGACAAATCCCTGAGAAATGAGCAGCATGAAGCAAGAGTTCAGACACAGAGTGCAGTTTGTATGCTATTCTTTTTAGTAGTGGGTCCAAGAGGCAAACGTCACTTGACTGTCCAAGCGTGCAAGCAACACAGGGTGAAAGAGAGCCAGGACGATCCTTTCATCCTTAGAGTCCCACCAAGCCGGCCTGGAACACTCTGAGCTGAATGACTGCATTTTCAAGCACATGGTGCGTCTCAAGCATTGTTAAGCACGTGGTGCGTCTCAAGCATTGTCTCTGGCAGTGTAAAGAAGAGTCTCAGCACGTGCTGTTTAAGATTCAAAAACATGCCCGAAACACAAACCGAATCTGAATGGCAATGGAGATTGCACGTGTTTGTTGGTCAGAACGTGTTCCTCAGTCATTGATTATTTGGTGGCTCTCAGGGTTCACTGTCCTTAGCGTACAATGGCATAGGCAAAACCATCAGCAAACACAAATCAATAAGTTTCTTACATTGACATGGAAATGGAATGACAGAATGCAGAAGTTAAAAAATACCACTGCGCTGGTTGTAAGAAGTGGTTGTCAGGACATAGGTCGTCGAAGTAGGGTACCTTGTGCTGTGTATACATTTCTGGCCTTGATCAATATCTAGGCCACTTTTGACCTTTAATTTAATCTTAATCTCGGCTCAGGGTTCATTTGGGGATTGTTGAACTGAACATGGCCTAAGACTGGTTCAGGTTTCACCCCAACCAACTCTATCTCCTTGGAATGTCAGCTAATCAATGTATGCTTTTCACCACCTCGCCATCCATGACTTGCAGTTCCTTGACTTTAAGATATGTCACTAGTGATGCAAGAAGAGATGTTTTATTGTCACTATTGATGCAAGAAGGGAGGTTTTATTGTCACAAGTGATGCAAGAAGAGAGGTTTTAACGTCACTAGTGATGCAAGAAGAGAGGTTTTATTGTCCCTAGGGATGCAAGAAGAGAGGTTTTATCATCACTATTGAATTGATGCAAGAAGAGAGGTTTTATTGTCACTAGTGATGCAAGAAGAGAGGTTTTATTGTCACTAGTGATGCTAGAAGAAAGGTTATATTGTCACTAGTGATGCAAGTCGAGAGGTTTTATTGTCAGTACTGATGCAAGACGAGAGGTTGTTATTGTCAGAAGTGATGCAATCAGAGAGCTTTCATTGTCACACGTGATGCAATCAGAGAGCTTTCATTGTCACTAGTGATGCAATCAGAGTGATTTCATTGTCACTAGCGATGCAATCAGAGAACTATCATTGTCACAAGTGATGCAATCAGAGAGGTTTCATTGTCACAAGTGATGCAATCAGAGAGGTTTCATTGTCACTAGTGATGCAATCAGAGAGCTTTCATTGTCACAAGTGATGCAATAAGAGAGCTTTCATTGTCACTAGTGATGCAATCAGAGAGCTTTCAGTGTCACTAGTGATGCAATCAGAGAGATTTCAAACAAAAAGCTTACAAGGTGGTCAGATATTGAAGGTTGCCTAATGATGATGGTATCATTCCCGTGAGATTGTTTCTGCCAAGAACCCTGCAGTCACCAAACAAGTGAAGAAGAGGGAGGGTGTGATGAAGTCTCAAACACGGGATACCAGGCAGACAAACTGAGGATGTCATAACTTCGATAACAGTATTGGGCAGTGTGTAGAGGTGCAAAACATGAATCTTAGCACGGATTGCGCCTTGATAAAAAGGTGAATAAATAAACTTCAAGGAGATGCATGGCTCCAGAAGGAAGTGAAAGAATTTGAAGTTGAAAAAGGGCTCACAATCCAGCAAGTGTGGACATCTTAGCGATGGATTCAGGGACTGTGCCACTCAGGCTGTTGTTGGCAAGGGATCTGATGAGAGAGCCATGGAAGGATGGAAGGACTGATGATATTGCAAAGGGCACGATAGTGGGCGCATGCAATTCTACAATTTATTTTCCAGCTTCAACCAATACTCCAAGCTTGAGTAGGAAGAGCTTGAAGATGCTTGATAATAGAATAAGCCAGAACGGCAGTCCACCTATTCAAGAATATTGGGCAGCGATTTCTCAACCAGTCAGCATCCACTGATTCGTTATGAAGGGCGGCCAAGCAAGAAAACCCATAGAGGGAAGAGAAGTAAGCCAGCAAGAGGTGCAAAATCAACAAAACCTTTCTTGTTTGTAGTTTTCCTTGACAGAAACAGAGTCTGCTCAGTAAGTATCTTATAGCCCTTTGAAACAATAGGCTCACAGCATAGTCAATGCAGTAAGCTTGCCAA